GGGAAGAGGTGACCCCAGGGGAGAAACTGAGACTGGGTCAAGGAGATCTGGGAATGTAGCTGTGGAAACAAGCATCCTTTCCCTAAGCAGCCAGGGGCTCTATTGTCTCTTCTTATATTCTAACCATCCTGTCTGTGCCTCAGCCACACAATGCCACAGCATTTCCCCCATCAACATTAAATTTAGCTGGCAAATGTCTAGTTCTCACAGATTATGGTATTCATACTAAAATTGCCATGAATAATATTGTAGTTTTGTACATTACCATGTTTCTGTTGCAGCTTCTACTATATGCTACTGTTTCTTTACATTCAACAAAAGACAAGCGACCCTTAAAATGAACTTCATTGCATTTGAGTCCTTGGTACTTACCAATGCTGTCTAAATTATTATATTTTAAATTATCCCCCAGAATATGGTGAACTCCTTACCTTACCTTGCTATAGTTTTCTAAAAAGAAAGAATATAAAGACAGAAAGAAAAATGGGAAAGGAAGAAAGGAGGAAAAAAAGACAAGACATGGAAAGAAAGAAAGGAGTGGGATATATAAGAGGAGCTACACTGAACAGCATGCTGTTTGCTCTGAAGGGTAGCTGTGCCTCCCCTTCCAAATGTCTTATGAGCGCAATGTACAGATACTGGGGGAATACGCTTCTTTCTCTGCTGCTTTCAGAAGCTGTTCAATTGTTTCCACTTCTTTATGAGCTCCTGGCTTTCAAAAAGAAAATGTGCACTTGTCCCTAGCAAACCCAATCTAACTTGTCCTGTTTCCAAAGTGAACTTGTGTTGAAGGTGAAGTTTTCAGTCTAGAGGTCATGCCCATGTGCCACATCCTACTGTCTGCAGCTTCATGCTATATTACACACAATGAAATCTGGCCTTTTATACTCCTTTCCCGACCCCCACCCCCACCCTCTGCCAGCTTCAGCTCCTGACAGCCTTTCTCCTCCATTCCCCAATTTGTACACATAATGAGAATGCTTCATAATCTACACACAAATATTAAATCTGCAAGAGTCATGATCACCATGGCTGAGGCGCTTTCAGAATGAGTCTGGATGCAGCCTGCCCAGCTGGAGCCATGCTAGCATGCTTCTACAGGAGCGAGACCTGAACCACATTAATCTGCTTAATTTCTTTTGTGAATCCTTCCTTGCTTGGAAACAAGAGGGCTTGAGCCTCTGCAAAGGCACTCAGAAACTTGCATCCTTTAATTTTGTTAGGAAGGAAAGCCATCTGAAACCCTCAACCATTAGATAAACAAAAGTATAAGTAAATCAAGCCAATCTGACTTTCTTTTCCAAATGAATTGTATTGCCCCCATTGAAAGGAAAGTAGGGGTATGGAAAATGTGGGGTGGGAAACTGGAGTGTGAAACAACTCAACAGGGAATGAAGATGTTGCCAATGCTTTCATGACCCAGGAATTGAAACTTCTGCAGTCTTGCTGGAGAAAGGTAGTGGATTTGCTACAATTGCAATTCCTCCACTTCAAAGCCCAGTTCCTATCTAGGACGACTTTTAGCTGCCCCAGCCCAGTAGGTTCGATAGCTATTGTCATATAATTCAAACCATTAGCTCTAGAGGGGATAGAGAAATCAGACTGAGGACCTAGAGTGAACTTCAAGATCTGGATGAGGAGCACACCAAGATATGTCTTTAGCCTAGATGCCAGAGAGATCGAGCTTGGTAGGAGTGACTTGGAGTTTAAGGCAAATTGCAGTCTATGAAAAATAAGTTACCAGTTCTTTGCAACAGTAGCTTCGCTTGGACTTATTTTTCTCCCATGTCCAGACAGGGTCGACTATTGAATGAGGCTCTTTTATTTTGCATGGGGCAGGGGATTTGTGACCATGGTCCCCCCTTTTATTCCTCTCTCTATGGAAACCCAAATCATGGGGAGAAATATGCAAGGCTGAATAAAGAGAAGCCACAGAAAGGAGCGCTTGAGAGCGGCATCTGTTACACTTGGGAAGTTAGACTGACAGGAGAGGGCGAAGGAAACCTCTCTAGTAGATTAGTTAGAACAGCAAGAAGATTCGACTACATGTAGATATTTTCTTCAGAAAGCAAAATGGGTCGTATTCAAGGGAAGTTTTTTTTTTTTTTTTTTTTTTACAACTGCCATAGGGAATGATTGCACCTAATCACATAGGCATTATCCATATTCATAACAATTTTTAAATGAAAGAAGGAGGAAGAAGGGAGAGGATAGAAGATGCAAGAGAAGAAGGGAGGGAAAGGAAGGAAAGAGAATGCTAAGAATTTCTGCTTCTAATATGCATCTATTTTGAAATTAAAGGCTAGAAAATAGGGCTATGAAAAATCTGTTCCTGGGTGTAGATGTATCTTCTTTGCTACCCTCCCCCTACCTCCAGACTTGGGACTAATGGTCTGAGCTACTTTTACTTTACTAGCAAAACCGGGTTATCAAAGCAAAGCAAGGCCATTACTAAGAGTAGTGTGTACTCCAAACACCCCTGCAAGTCAGAACTAGAAAAGGACCCCCTTTCACCAAAAAGCTTTATCAGATGATAATTATCTTCACCTCCTTAACAGCCAGACTGAGATAAGCAATTCTTTCACCCAAATGCAGCTGCTAGGTGGGGGTGGGGAACATACCAACAACATGGCAATAATCATGATCAGAGTTTTGCACATACAGTTTCTTCAACACATTTCCTCTGACCTTTCAGCTGACCCAATAAATATTAGCAAATGATCACCAAACAGGCAGTCTAATCGAGCACCGACAACTTCTTTTTGTTTGATTTTAATGAGTTCTTATTTCGTCAGATGCATAAGTTCAGGCACAAATTGGATTTCATTCTTGTAAAAAGATAATGCATACATTCAGCAGTAAGAAAAAGCCTACCTCATTCCTCCACAGAAAAGAGAAGAGATATAGAAACAGACACACAGAGATGGAGAGAAAGAGAGTGCCTGCGCACAAGAGTATAAGAGGGAGGGCGGGAGGGAGGGAGGGAGGGAAGGACAGAGGGTGGGAGGGAGAGAGGGAGGAAGGGAAGGAGGGAGAGGGAGAGAGAGAGAGAGAGAGAGAGAGAGAGAGAGAGAGAGGCAAAGGGAATGAATCGATTCCTAGGTTAAAAGCAGATAAGCCCTTACAATAGGGCATCAGCAAATGAACCTACAATTTCAATGAGGGAGCGTGGTGAAGCAGTGGTGGCGAAAGATCCTCTCTAACAATAATTACTAAGTGTTTATCTTTAAGAGCAAAAGAAAGATTTCAAACAGATGCCAGGTTTTCTCACCTAACAAACGCGCGTTTACATTTACCAATTTCTGCTCCTATTACTTTGTGCTGTCATAAGAATAATCACCAATTTCACAGGAAATAGATGCTCCTTAGCTATATAAAGGAATGGCAGAATAAGCTCACCTTGCTTTTAAAATTTTTTCTCATTTTCTTGCATTTTCTTCAGATCTGTCTTCTTAGAGAAACTAATGCCTTAATGACTTTCTGGTAGCTGCAAGCCTTCTTTTATTTCAGCTAAATATATGAAAATGTATGCAAATTTAAATCAAGCTTAACCTAGGAGCTCTTGCAATATATTTAATGGAATTTCAAACCAATAAGGGAACTCTGATGCCGTCTTCTGTAAGAGCAAATATAATTACACAGCCAGGTTTCCTCCGAAATTACCGAACGAAAAGGTCTTTTTTTTTTTTTTAAGAAAAAAAAAAAAACAACTTCTGATTTAGTGTGGGGTACCGTGTATTTACTGTCTTTTCCCAGCTCCTGTAATTCTAAAATCTTTGTATTTCCCCCAACTCTGATTCCAAACAACACCTTTGCGTGGGGCTGTGGAGCACGTGGACATGCTCTTCTCTAACTCGGAAAAGCCTGGGAGGGTATGTCTTTCCTTTAACCAAAATTTTAAAACAGTCGGGTCCCCCAGGCTGAAATCTGATTTAAGCTTTGAGGCAGCTGTGAAGGAATGGGAAAGCTGTACAAGATGCCTAGCCACCAAGGTCTCTCTCCGGGTTTCTCTCTTTTCTCTTTTTCCCATAACCCTATTCTTCTCCCCTCTTCCCTCTCCCCTCTCCTGTCTTCTCTCTCCTTGTCTCGCTCTCTCTCTCTGATTTTCTAAATTTTCAAAGAACAGTAGAGGAAGCACATTTCTCAATATTTCCCTCACACTGCCAAGGAATCAGGATGTAAAGGTTTCAAGGGGACAACACTGGGCGGGCATGGTGTTATGAACACTTTCCAGTCTGCGGGTTGGGAGTGGGGGAGTGGGTTTTCTGTGCGTCTAGGGTGAGTGTGAAAGATGACTGCGGGCTTCAGCAAGCAGTGCCTCTTACATAAAATGAGAGACCTCGAATGAGAACGGACAGGGAAGCAAAGATAAAGCCAGGTTTCCAATTAACCAGCAAACTTCAAACTGACTTGAGTCTTCCAAGGATCGCTTTAAGATTTACATTTGCAAACCCTCAACTCTTCATGCCCTGAATCAAAAATTTAAGAAAAAAAATAGAAATCTTTTTCCTAGATCGACTTAGTTTCTTATAAACGAAAAAAATAAAATAAGCAATAAGTTGGAATCGCTTTTATTGGATCATGAACTTTTTATTTTGGGTTCTGACCTAAGACATTACTTTGTTCAAAGTTTGTAGATGCGTTTTATTTTGCAGTCCCCACCACACAGTAACCCAAAGCGCTAACTAAACCTGAAAATTTTTTGTGCACTAAGATCAAAATGACATTTTAATTTGCTTTCTTTCTTTCTTTCTCTCTTTCTTTCTTTCTTTCTCTCTCTCTTTCTTTCTTTCTTTAATTTAAATAAGTCAAAGGGAGATCTGAAACCAAAGTTAGCCTCCTCACTTCCACTCCACACAAATATATCCCTTCTCCATCACAAGCAACCACGTAGTCACCAGGAGGGGGGAAAGGGTTAACTAAAAGAGCCGCTGCCACTCTGAGCAAGGCAGCCAATGGAGCCTAAAGATTGATTCACTTCCTGCTTGGGTCTCACTGAAACTCCGGAGCTTCGCCAGCCTAATTTGGAAAGCGAGCTCGGCCTCCCGCACCATCATTGGCTGAGTTTATGCCTGGCCAGGCCAAGTCGCACTGCGATTGGCCTTGGCGGGTGCCGGTAACCTGCGCTAGCGGCTTTGGTTCCCCCTCACCATAGATGTCAAAGGCTGAAGCTGCTCCCTTTGCCACATTATAACTAGTAGAGGATCTTCATCGACCATGGCCACAGCTGCCTCGAATCCCTACAGCATTCTCAGTTCCAGCTCCCTCGTCCATGCGGACTCTGCCGGAATGCAGCAGGGAAGTCCTTTCCGCAATCCTCAGAAACTTCTCCAAAGTGACTACTTGCAGGGAGTTCCCAGCAATGGGCATCCCCTCGGGCATCACTGGGTGACCAGTCTGAGCGACGGGGGCCCATGGTCCTCCACATTGGCCACCAGCCCCCTGGACCAGCCGGACGTGAAGCCAGGACGCGAAGATCTGCAATTGGGCGCAATCATCCATCACCGCTCGCCACACGTAGCCCACCACTCGCCCCACACTAACCATCCGAATGCCTGGGGAGCAAGCCCAGCTCCAAACTCGTCCATCACGTCTACCGGCCAACCTCTCAATGTGTATTCGCAGCCAGGCTTCACGGTGAGCGGTATGCTGGAGCACGGGGGACTCACTCCACCACCAGCCGCTGCCTCCACGCAGAGCCTGCATCCAGTGCTCCGGGAGCCTCCAGACCACGGTGAGCTGGGCTCGCACCACTGCCAGGACCACTCGGATGAGGAGACTCCAACCTCTGATGAGTTGGAACAGTTCGCCAAACAATTCAAACAAAGAAGAATCAAGTTGGGTTTCACGCAAGCCGACGTGGGGCTGGCACTGGGCACCCTGTATGGTAACGTGTTCTCGCAGACCACCATCTGCAGGTTCGAGGCCTTGCAACTGAGCTTCAAGAATATGTGCAAGCTGAAACCCCTGCTAAATAAGTGGCTGGAGGAGGCTGATTCATCCACAGGAAGCCCTACCAGCATTGACAAGATCGCCGCTCAGGGCCGCAAGCGCAAGAAGCGAACCTCCATCGAGGTGAGTGTCAAGGGCGTACTGGAAACGCATTTCCTCAAGTGTCCCAAGCCTGCAGCGCAGGAGATCTCCTCGCTGGCCGACAGCCTCCAGTTGGAGAAAGAAGTGGTGCGTGTCTGGTTCTGTAATAGAAGACAAAAAGAAAAAAGAATGACTCCGCCAGGGGATCAGCAGCCACACGAGGTTTATTCGCACACAGTGAAAACTGACGCGTCCTGCCACGATCTCTGACTGGAGAAAGCCCGGAGGTGGCCCACAGCACTGGGAGCAGTGCGGATCATTCTCACTCCCTTCCTTCCTTTCATCACTACATTCTTTATTATTGCTCTCTCTCTCTCTAGCTTGCTAGCTCTTTCTTTCTTTCTTTCTTTCTTTCTTTCTTTCTTTCTTTCTTTCTTTCTTTCTTTCTTTCTTTCTTTCTTTCTTTCTTTCACAGGGGTTTCTAACTTATGTTAAGAAAAGAAACACACACACACACACACACACACACACACACACACACACACACACACACATTCAGGCTTCTCAACTCTGAAACAAAATTATATTAAGCAGTCCAGGCGGGGACCTCATAGTCCCTGCTGCCAGAGCAATTTCCCTCCAACCTTTTCTGCTGATCAATACATATTGTTTACTCTGAGTAAGATTTGTTTGGTTGCTCCTCTCTAAAAAGGGCAAGGAGCTGGGTAACAGGGGTGGGGGCGGGAGAGGGTGGGAAGACAGATGTGTGCCTATGAATAACCTTTCAGCGCCTTGGTTATAGCAGCTGTATTTCAGGTGAAATCTGTTTTACAATAGACTAGTTTTGCATTTTTTAAAACTTCTATAGCGTTTCTAAATGTCTGCGGTGTTTTACTACAAGCTGTACACAATATTTGTGAGATAATTTGTATCTAATCGACCACTCCACATTATTATTGCTATTATTATTATTTCTTCATTGAGCTGATGGGTTTTTAATTGCTTAAAAAGGGAGGGGAGGCTGGAAGGAGGAAAGAGAAAAATGCTCACCTCTTGCACTCCCACACTTTCGAATCTGCATGGAGAGGAGAGGATAAGATGGAGAAAGTTGTTGATGTTTCTGTTTTTTTTTCCCGGGGACTGAGTGCCTATATGGGCAGAACAAGCAAACTGAAAGGGTTTGCAAAGTAGCCTGAAGAAGAGAGGCTATTTCGCTGCTTTTTGCCCCCTTTTTCCCCCCGCAACCGTGGAGTCTCTGAAGGCTTCCACAGCTTAAATCCCGGTGCCCCAGAAGGATTCAGCAGTGGCGCGCGAAGAATGGGGTTTGAGGGACCAGAAGGATTCTGAATTCACCATCGTAAATGCCTGTGCCTGAAGTTTCCCACAGGCTGCCAGCATAGTCAGGTTGACAACCTGCCCTACACCATGGTACACTCTCCCAGATGAAAGACTTTGCCTTCACAAATGGTGGCTTTCTCCGGAGACCACGACCCAAAGACGCTGGCGACAGATTGGGCCAGCGCCTCCCAGTTTGCGGCTCGCTCTCAGGGTGAGAAACACTCTCCGTAGGGTGGTGAGGGGTGGGCTAACAGGCACCCTCTGCTTAGTGCGGAGCGACAATAAACTGGTTGGCAAAAGTCTTGGAGATTCTGGTCCAGCCGTGTACCACCTCCTCCCTCTTGTATATACCAAGGTCTGAGTGAGCTCTTGGGGAGCCCATCTCAGCGTCTTTGACAAGCACAGCTGGTGGAAGCCCATGGCGAAGATTCAGCGAGCTAGGGATCGCCTGGGCAGCTGAGTTAATGCTTTTTTCTTTAAAAAAAAAATCAAAAATATGTGTGTATGTATTTCTTTGCGTGTGTGCGTGTGTGTGCAAACGTGTGTGTGTAGATAGCTGTGTGTATCGTATTACTGTATAAAAAAAACTTAAAAAAAAATCTCGCTAGGCTATGTAGAGATCCCAAAATTAAGCGGTTGCCGTGGCTTTATGGCTAGCTTTTTCTCATGTCCACAGGACAGGTTCACAGGTGCACCTCGTCCCCAACAAGCACTCTGTGCCGGCCCAGTGAAGCGCTCATGCCCAGCCAGCTATGGCGGGCCTGACCTGAAGGGGATCTCAGCACGCCAGGCTGATCTCAGGATTCAGCCTGCAGGCGAAGCTGTGGTAGACAAAGCTTCAAACTACCTAAGGACCAGAAAACCTTGTGCCCCTTGTAGAACTTGTGCCCCTTGTAGAAGATGCGCTAGTATGGGCTGCCAGGCCTCTGGGTGACCACACTGTGTCTCCTCTAGCCGCAGGTCGAAGAGCATATATTAATTCAAATCCCCGACCCTTTTGCTATTTTTTTCTTTTTTTCCTTTCCTTTCTTTTCTTTTCCTTTACTTTCCCTTTCTTCCCCCTTCTCTCTCTCTCTCTCTCTCTCTCTCTCTCTCTCTCTCTCTCTCTCTCTCTCTCTCTCTTTCTCTCCTTCTCCTCCTTCTCCCTCTTCTTTTGTCAAACCTCTGAATTCTCTTACTTTTAGGTTTTAGTTCTGCGATTTTATTTTCCTAGTTGAATTCATGTTTCCCAAATGTTTGAAGGTGGTGGGTTGTTTGATTTTTTTTTTTCCTTTGCAGTTAAACGCTATGGTTCAAACCTGAGTTAACCCAAATATTTCTGCCGACTTTATAACTGTACAGTTTTGTATATTAAACGTTTTTGAAGTTATTAATTTAAAAAAAGATCATTTAGTTTATTCATTTAGTAACTGATGTATAATAAACGCTATTTTCATTAAGAGTTGCTTTTTCAACTATTTTATTCAAATTGCCTATTGCAGTTGCCAACAATTATTTATTTTCAATAAATTCTGCATTGTGTTTAAATAGAAATTGTTTCAAAGATGAGTTGGGTGTCAAAAAGAAAACAATTCGCTGTAATGTTTGATGTGAACAGTTTCAGTCAAGGGGTTTATATTGACGCAATATTTTATTGTTGTAAAAGATTTAAAAGGTTTAAATAAAACATTTTTCCAAAAAAAAATGTTTTCTTCTCTTGGCCTTATTGTGTTATGTGTGAGGTGGAGCATTTAAAGAGGTACATCCTGGATGAGCAAGGCATTTGCTTTGCTTCGGGTTAGAAATTATTAGTTTTTATTTTAATTCCGGTTTCTATTCCTCTGACTTTTGCCCTTAAGGCTCAGAAACATACTCTCACACACAATACCTGTTTGTTCACCCACACCCATGTGCTCACATAAAATGCACACTTCAATGGTGGAAAGCCAGGTGGGTAAGACTATTTTATTAGTGTTCTCTTAGAACATGTCTTTGTCAACCAGTGTCTTCTAGTCTACTTTTCCTCACCCCACCCTACCTCACTGCAGCCCCCAAAATTAGACCCAAACCTTCCCGAGACTTCTATGTTCCTTACATGTCCTCATGCTTCTTTTCTCCACACTCCTGACAGTTCCCTTCTAGTAAGATACCGGGATATGATTTCATGTATTGATTTTCTTAAGGTGCTCCCTGGGCCCAGAAACCTCAAGGAAACTGTTGGTTTCCATCCCTATCTATCTGGCTTGTAAGAGGGAAAAGAATGAGACAATTGGGGAGAATTTTGATTTATTATAGTCATCTTTCCATTCCCACATATAATTTTACATCTATTTCATAAATCCTTCCATGAAATAAGGGACTGCTACCTGTAGTGGTAGCTAATGAGTAATTTGCCAAATATAAGACAATTCTCTTTTAAGGTTTTACATGTACAAGCATGTTTTGTCCAACTTTTTTTGGTTGATGCATTTGAATAAATAAACAATATATAAATTTCCAGCAATATAGACCCCTTCTACTTATACTCTGATAGAGATATTTTTCTTAGACAAATCATAATTATTTAATCACTTCAATAGGTAATGATTATCACAAATGATGCCTTAACTTTTAAAGATTGCCTGATTATTTACAGCTGTATAGTAAAACATACACTTGACTGTTTTCTATGAAACATGACACATATTGTTTGTATATTCATGGATATATCTGGATATATCCCCTTTGCACATAATACTGTTTTTTTAAATTTTTTATGTATTGTGTGTGTGTGTGTGTGTGTGTGTGTGTGTGTGTGTGTGTGTTACATTTGTGTGAGTGTTCACAGAGGTCAGAAGATGGTGTTCCATCCCCTGGAGTTTAAGGTAGTTGTGAGCCACTCAACATGGATTCAAGGAGCCAACCTGGAGTTCTCTAGAAGAGGAGGAAGCTCTCTTAAACACTGAGTCATCTCTCCAGCCCATAATATTGATTTTATAGAGTTGAACCTATAATGTTCTTTTTTCTTACTAAAGAACTGCACACAACTACTAACTTTCAGTTTATCCTGAACTCTTAGGTGAAGTCACTTGCAGATATTTTAGGAGACATTTATGTGACTGTATAGACAGAGGAATCATCAGTACTTTATTAATATATTAATATGCATTATACATATATATCTATCTGAAGCTGTCTTCCTTTATTGCCTTTTTTCTTCTTAACCATAACCTAGCAGACTTTTATGATAACCTTATCAATCTATGTATAATGAGAATATTATCATTAAAAATCCAGTGTTGTTGGTGCTTTTGCATAGGGCTTTCCCTTTCTTAAGGTAGCTTCTTTTCCAGCTCCCCACCAATGCCTTTGCACAAGTAAGTAGCTTTTGTCTTGGCTTTTTTTCAGGTCTTTACAAATGTAGCCCTCTCTTAGGAAGAACTGATGGATTTAAAATGAACAGTAATAATTAATCATATCTAGTGCTATGAAGGCAAAAAAATTCAACCCCAACAACATGTCAGAATAATAAAACAGAGAGAAATTGTAAGGGGGAGTAGGATGAGACTACAGTAAGTATGCAGGTGTTACACATGTATAAATAAAGACAAACTTCAACCTATCGACACATGCCTATAAATGTTGGTTGTTTACATACTTGTACATAAGTAAAAGAGAGAAATAAATTGCTAACTTTCATAAATTATTTCTCTATCAACAAAAAGAGGAAAATTAGATGCAAGGAAATTAGTTTCTTACCTTTAAAAAGAACCAAATTGAGGCAATTATTGCCTAAATTAGTACATGGGGAGTATTTGTCTTTAATGAAAGCAAACACTGTTTCTTGAAAATATTCAGCATTCAAAATTTCCCTTGTTCTGTAGTCGGTCATTGTTGCTTTCATTGTTTGTAGTGATACAAGTTGAACATAAGTTTCTGTTCCTAAAATATCTTTTATATAAAGGAGAGATGAGACCAAGGAGAACAAGAATGTAGGAAATAGCTGGAGGTTGAAAGTAATTTGAAAAAGAGAAAAGTGTATTTCTCCCACTTCTCAGATCTTTCTAAAGGCACATATGGAACCTCCAAGTTCTGCAAATTATTCTACAACTTGGTGGTT